AATTTTAATCTTATATTTGTAAACCAATGTATTTTTTGTATTTTGTATTTAATGGTAATTTATTATGTGCTATTGTATTTCATTGTATTTTATCGTGTTGTAAGCCGCCCCGAGGTTTCGGCAAGGGGCGGCATAGAAATGTTAATAATAATAATAATAATAATAATAATAATAATAATAATGGGGTGTGATGCCAATGTGTTCAGTTGTATTTGAATTCAAACTCAAATGAAAGTGCTTCCAGATGTTGATACCTTTTCTTCTTTCTTTTCAAGTTTAAGCTTTGATTTTGAGAAATTATGCGGAACTCAAAGGTGATAAGCAGGAAAGTAGAAACACAGGAATGATGGTGGTTGATAGTCTCTATGTCCTAGTTGCATCAATTAACCAGCAGAACTAGTTGAGCTCAATACTTTAGATACTCCTGGATCCACTGTAATATTTTTATTTTCTATAGAGAAGTTAGGCAACTTCTATGAAAGTTTTATCCTGATCTAGGCCTTAAACTCCACGGCATGTGTGTAATTGCAGAGACCACGAAGAAAAATGGGATGTGACTATATAAAATATGGCTTAAGCAGCCATGGATAAGCAATATGGCCTTGCACTCCTCTCTCATCCCACTGCATGCCATGCTTACTACCAAGATCCTAAATGTGTTTTATACCAGAATTCCCCATTATGCCTAAACCAAGGCATTAACTTAATATTATTTATAAACCAGGATAAGAAGCCAGGATCAGATCTAGGATTTTTTCTACCATTCATGATTTTATAAACTGTCATGATTTTGCTCTGTTAAGCTACCCCAGTTCAGATGAAACAGCTTAATGCAAGATAAAATCCTGATGTTACAGTTCAGAGAGAGAAGAAGGGGTGAGGAAAGAGAATACAGCCTCATTCAAGGTTCGTGGCTTCATAAACCATCATGCATGAAGCCACTGATAAATATGGTTTATGAATTGGATCCAAAGGTTGACTTCCACTGACTGGAATACTCTTCCATCAATGGAAAAAGAAACTTTTGGATCCAATCTATTGAAAGCAATTGATAATACCATTCACTAAGCCTGAACTGTGAGAAATCATTGACTACTAATATATTTAAAAGGTTCCAAAAGGTAACAAGCTTCCAAACTATCATAGTGCATTTCTAGCAAAGATTTCCTACATCAGTTGTTGAAGAAATAATTTATACACCTTGACACATTTGATACCTAGTATGTGATAACAAGCCTTACATGGAGGCTTACTGTGTCAAAGGGAATCCCTCTCTGTGTTCTCCCCTCCCCTGAAAATGTAGATAGGTATGAAGCTAGCCAATATTAGAGACAGAAAGAAGGGGTCAGGAAAGGAAGGGTTTCTGCCTGGTGGGTATAAAAGAAAGGAGGGGGAAGAAAGAAAAGACACAACTTTGATGGATGGGTTCTCCTCATCTTAGTAAAATAAACCTGTCATTATCCTACTCCAATAATAAATAACTGATTCAAGACTGACAGAACAAGAGCATTTTTTCATTACTCATAATTGGACATGTGCACTGTTAAATGCTTAACTCCTGAGTACCAAATTGTGTAAATGGCAATATAGCACAATATATTGCTTTCTGTAATTTGAGCTTTCTAAAATGACTGAAGAAGACTGTGCACCATCGAAAGAAAGAAAAAAAACCACTGCATATACATTGATTGAGTAAGAACTTACCCAGGAGTGGGACTGGTTGTGTGACAGGAGCCGGTATACTAGTGGAGGTTGTAGGTGGTGGAGCATTTGGATACCCTTTGGAGCTATCTGAATTTTCAGCATTTCCTCTAGATCCAGAAACTACTGTTGGAATTGGGTTTCCCACAGAAGAGTCTTTTGTAGTGTCTTCATTTATATTGGCCACAGTAGCTAAAAGCACAGTAATGTTAATAGTGGCATATACTTTCATTACAAGTTCCTTTACAATGCACAAATTATACTTACAGTTTGGGATATTTACTGCTGCAGAAGGTGGGACAGAGACTGGAGGAACTGAAACTGGAGGATTAATAGGAGGTGGTGGTCCAGGAGGAAGAAAACCTATGATGACAGAAATTTTTTAAAAATTTCTCTAACAAAAATCTATTACCATTATCATTAAAAGGAAAAGTCTTGGAAACTTCTGGTAATATTTAATATACCTGGTGGCAAATGCATTGGATTGAATCCTGGTCTCAAAAATGGTGGGGGTGGCGGTGGAGGAACTCCAGGACCAAACCCAGGAGGTGGAATTCCTAATGGAGGGGTAAATGTAGGTGGCTGAATTGTACCAACCATTGGAGGCCCTGGCTGATGTGGTGGAACCTACAACAGAACAAAAATGTTTACCTGGCACAAAATTCTATGGTCTTGAATTTTTACACGTGCATTTTCAATCAAAGTGTATGACTTTATGTTTAACAGAGCATATTGCTAGAACCTCTCTCTAAAGTAAAAGTGCAGAAGGTGCACCTTACTAAATCTCTTTAATGGCATTGTTACTCCTAGTTTTCCAACTTATATCACAATTAAGAGGGACATCTGCATGTGGGAAATGAAACTGCACACACAACAAGCTTCTGTGTAGCTTTCACTGCAGTACCTCCCATGGATGCTGAGAGATGCTGCTTTTAAAACCAAGCTGTGTTTGTATCACTATGCAGGAGCTATGATAAAAATCATAACTGTGCAGCACATTTAGGGTTTCCTTGTTTGTATATTATTATATATTATTAACAATCATAATTACATTTCTATATTGCCCATACCCAACATTCTCTGGGAAATTCACAAAGTTTAAGTCACCCATCCAGGTTAGACAGGATCACACACTTCAGGCTATATGGGTAAACAGTTCCTTTAGATTTTAATATTGATGTTCACAACAAAGCTCATTGTAAACTAGAATTATAATGAATCAATTATAGAATGTTGCAAAATAGTTCTTCACATTCAAGTTTATAATTAAAGCTAATGAGATAGAAGGAAAAGCAGTAATATACAATATTACAATAATTTAATAGTATATCATATTTATTAAAATGACCAGGAAATAGTGGAGGATGCATCCAAAAGTAATTTTCACATTGGAATTTATTTTACAATATTCAATAGATTGCACTGTTTTATAAATTTAATTTGCTGCTGCTTCCTGTCTCTCAAACTGCCTCACTAATTCCTAATAATTATGCAGATTAAAGCCCTCCCCCCACCCAAACTGCAGGAGCAGCAGTGGGATTTTTTTGCTGCAACATATATCATTTTACACTTGCTTGCAGCGATGTATATTGGCCTCTGGATACCCATTCTCCCAGTCTGGAGAGCTCCTTTTGGTACTCCTCACAATTCCTTTTGGTTTTAATCACCCTAAATAATTTAGTGTCATCCGCAATCTTGACTCCACTCCTAATTCCAGATGATGTATGAATCATGTTATATTAATTGGAATATTATGTATAGGGATTTAGGAACATCTATCATTTCTATTCTTGTGATATTGCCAAATCAATACAGGTTCCAGTTTGGCCAGCTCGTAATGTATCTTTTCAGTAACAGATAAAGTCTATGTCTACTTAGAAGTAAGCCTCATTGAGTCTGAGTTCAGTGGGACTTACTTCCAGTTAAGTGTGCAAACGATTGGCATCTATCTCTGTTAATTCATCTGTTTTGTTTTTAATCCCTAAATAATATACTGGTTTTCTTTTAAGTTTCTATTGCTGGCTTCTTTCTTATCTCAACCCGTTTGCATTTTTGTGTATCTATATAGCTAAACATATCCTGACAATTATGACTTTGCTTTTTTAATTTATAGCCAGATGCATGACAATGTTCATTTATCTTTAACACAACTGGTATTGAAATTCTTTAGGAACTTGTAAATTAAATATCAGGTCATCTTTGTATAAACTAGCCTTTCAATCACACTATTCAATTTTTATCCTCATAAATTCTGTGCCAAACAAACATGAAGAATCAATAATGGGACAGTTTTGTTGAGCTCCTCAATGAATGCAAAATGTATTTGAATACTGGTCATTAATTAATATATTTTCTATGTTTATATATAACTTCAATGTATGTATAGTTAACTATAGTAAGCACAGGAAAAGTTAGCAACTGAATTGCCATTCAAGATTATCAAAAGCTTTCTCAGTATCTAAATAACCATAACTGGTTCAATTTTAGATATTTCACAATCATAAAATTTGAAAATACTCTTCTAGAACTATTAGCTGTGTCTGTTATAGTTTGGTTTGGTTAATGTGTACATACTGAGGATTGACCTAGTTAATATTGAAAAATTAATGTTCCTATGTAAAAGACCCTAACTGGTCTGCATTAGGGAAAGACTGCATTAGGCCTAGGAGCCTAATCTAGCCCTCCTGATCACACAATCATAGCATAGTAGAATTGGAAGGAACCAAAGTTCCAGCTCCCTGCTCAGAGCAGGACTCCAAGTTAAACCATCCCTCTCAGGTGGCTTTCCAGTTGCATCTTGCCTCTAGGGTGGGGGAGCCCACAATCACCCTAGGACTTTGGTTCCACTGTCATACTGCTGTATCAGGAAGTTCTTCCTGATATTCAGCCGGCATCTGGTTTCCTGTATGAGACCATTATTCTCTGTCCCGCACTCTGTGATGATCACAAAGGGATCCTAGCCTTCCAATTTCTGACAAGCTTTCAAGTACTTGAAGAGTGCTATCCTATCTCCCCTCAGTCTTCTCTTCTCAGTAAGCATGCCAATTTCTCTCACTCTCTCCTCATACGGCTTTGTTTCCAAGTCCCTGAATCATCCTTGTTGCCCTCTTCTGATTCTTTCCTACCTTGTCCTAGAAACAGAGACACAGTACAGATGAGGCCTAACCAGTGAAGAATGAAGAGAACTAATGCTATACATGATTTGGAAGAGATACGTCTATTAAGGCAGCCTAAAAGAAGCATTTGCCCTTTTTGCAGCCACATCACATTGCTTACTCACATTCAGTTTATGATCTACAACAATTCCAAAATCCTTCTCACTTGCACTCTTGTTGAGCCACATTTTCCAACAATGCATTTGGTTTCTTTTTCCAATGTCCAGACTGAACTTGGCATTTGCCCAGATTGAATTTCATTCTGTTGCTTTCAGCCCAGTACTTCAACCTATCAAGATCACCTTGAATCTTCTGTCTTCCAAGGCACAGGCTATCCCATCCATTTTTTTGTCATATGCAAATTTGATCATTGTTCACTGCACTTAGTACTGCATTCAGGTCTGAACCCTGCAGTACCCCAATTGTTACCTCTCCCCAGTTTGAGGAGCTATTGACAAGCAGAGTCCAATTCTGTAGCTAACTGAGGATCCATCTAGCCTATTTTTTGCTAGTTTGCTAACCAGGATACATGGAGCACTTTGTCAAAAGCTGTTTAAGGCAAGATAGATTATGTCTACAGCATTCCCAATCAAAAAATGAAATCAGATTAGTTTGACAGGATATGTTCTTCACAAATCTATGCTGGCTTATAGTAGTTACTGCATTGTTTTCAAGAGTGCACACCGACTTCTTTATAATGTGCTCCAAAATTCTCCCAGGGATTATGTCAGACGGACTGGTCTGTAGTTCCCAAATTTTTATATTCCTCTCCCTAAGCTGGGGACAATATTAGCCCTTTTCCAGTCATCTGCACTTCCACTGTCATCCACAATTTCACAATGATAACAGACAATGGTTCTGAGAGTTCTGCCAGCTCCACTATGACGCTAGGATGGAGTTCATCAGGCTTGGAGATCTGAACTCATTCAACCCAATCAGATGTTCCTTGAACAATTGGCTAGCAATCTTGAGCCGCCATCCTGCTCCTTTAGCTTATACTTCCCCTTCTTCATGTACTTGTGCCTTTTCTTTGGCATCTGTTATCATTTTGCAATCCACACTGCAATCCATTTCCTTCCTCTGTCACTACCTATCTGAAGGCTTTTTGTGCTTTCAGCATCCCTAACTTAGTTCACTCCTAGCTTTAGCCTTCCTGACACCATCCCTTAAATTCCATGCTACCTGTCTGAATTCATTCTTTGTAGCCTGACCTTCCTTCCACTCCCAATATCCGTTTTTGTTACAGTTCCCCAGAAGCCTCCTTCCTCTATGCTCAACCCCTTTTCCCCAACCACATTAGTTTTTGTGCAGCTTTTTTCTGTTCCAAAATATTGAAACTTTCTTCCTAAGCTACTAGCAATAAGTGCTCTAAGAAACCACAGCCTGCAGGCTTTTTTGTGGAGGTGGGGAGTATTTTGGAATTTATCTCCTTGAGGTATGGCCTTGCCCCCATTACGTTTGCCCCTGCCTGTCACTGGACTGCACCTTCAAGAGCTTCTTGCAAATTGTATTTAGCCTTCAGTCTGAATAAGATTCTCCACCTTGGATCCATTAACATTTAATACTGTATTATAAATTAATACTATTTCCCTAATCACTTCCCTTCAATTATACAATCATCTAAAACACTTATTTTCAGATAATGTAGTTATAATTTAAGCATTTTTAAAGAGACTGTCACCTCTTAAGAGATTTATTTAAACTACAGTAGCATTAAGTTTATAAATTAACAGATTTTATGGACAGTTTGATTATGAGTAATTATGTATTTATTATGAAGATTATTGCTGAAATCAATCACTTTTTTGTTCCTTAGCTACATAATTATTTCATATGTCCCTCCTCTCAAAATCCTTGTCTTGTAATGCTTAGTTTTACTTTCGCCAGCTGTATTAACTGACTTCTTCTCTTGTTCTGTTGTTTAAAAACCTAAAGTTTTTAAACAAATGCATTTGTTTTTAGTTTTTTAATTAACCAGACTTTAGCTTGATTATGTAATCTGTTTAATTGAGAACTCCAGATAACCATATATTAAATACTCACCACACACCTGGTTACAATTACCACTTTCTACTTTACCATTTAATGTGAGGGAAAAAACCCACTTCTTCATTTTCTCAATGTTTTAATTTCATGGTTCTTCAATGCAAGTGTATTTCATTTTAAATTAGGCATTCTGCATTTGACATTAGATTATTTTATCACATTCTTTTTGTACGGTGTTTCATTTTAAAGCATACTCCTAGTAGTGACATCTTGTATATTTCCACTGTGTCAGGAATAATTGTAATTAATGCTAAATCTTGCAATGATAGCATTTCAAGTAATGCAAGACTATGCAATTTTCATAATTATATATTTACCATGTTAAAATGAAACTTACCTGTGGTGGAGGCACAGTTATTGGTGCGGGTATAGGAACAGGCATTTGAACTGACAAAGATTTAGCTATAGGTGAAGTTTGTTCATTATGTGCAGTCTCTCCACCTCCTGCACCTCCATTCTGGGCTACTTGGTTTTCTGTTTTTTTGGAAATTCCTTTCCATTCTACAGGAAATTGAAAAAAAGTAAAATGCTTTCTCTCAGCTTCAACATTCTAAAGCCAAGAGGAAAATCCTCACTTCAACTCAAGCCCACCTTATAGTATCTTGATGATATGTCTATACATTATGGTCATCTATCCACGCTTCCCAATGAGAAACATACTGACTGACTGTATTGTACTGTATAGGGAGACATGAGATTTTATTCAATGAAACACCCCTTTTATTGAAATAGCAGGTTTCAGCCCCACTGATTTCTACTAGTCTACTCTAAATAAAAGTCTGGATCCAATTCAATGACCTAGTTAACACAATCAAGACAAGTTACCACATCTTAAATAATGGTGGCTTCTTTTTATTTCCAAGAACATGTCCAGCACTATCTGCCTTATTACCCACACGAGTGCAGCTTATTATATTATCTAAATCCAGACAGCATGGTTTGTTTGAGAGGGAATGAACCTCTCAAATAACCTTTGGACTATTTGACAGTTATCTGAGGGTTGTTTCTCTGCAAACAAGCCCTAATGCTCATGTTCAGATAGCATGACAAGCAGTACCCAAGCAGCCAACTAGCCAAATAGAGCATAACACATGCTACCATTACCTGGAATTAAGCAACCCACTGTGGCTCATTTAAACTGAGTTGCTCACTGTCTCTTTTTCAGATTCATTATTTATTTACAAAAATAGTCACATAAAATTAAATAATGAAGTCATGCCCAGAATTAAGAAAAATTAAGTTAAAATATGTTACAACAGCATGGAAATGTTTCCATTTTTGGAATGAATATTCCATAAAATTTATAACATCATTAGTATATAAGATAGAAAACAAATGGGGACACCCAAGTAGATATTAGTCCAAACTAAATCAAAGGAAATGTTCTTCCCACCCAGCAGAATTCAGAACATTTAGAACACTTCGCAAATGGCTTCTCCTCTCCAAGTGTCTCCCCATAACCCTCTGAGTTATAGCTCTCCTTTATAGTTTGGCAAAATAACTGGATTTTTTAGAACAATTCTAAATTACTTCATGAATAAAAGACTTTCGCTTAAATACATTTGCTAAAGACATACTTACTAGGACTAAGCGTTTCACTGTCCAACATTCCTCCTTCACAGAAGCTTTCCAAATCTTCAGGCTTAACTTTACCCCATGGTATGTAGGTAACACCCAATTCTACATCCCAATACTGCTTATAGTCTGGTTTAATTCCTTTGTTTAAAGCCCATGCAATCTAAGGAAAAACATCAACATACTTATTAGTCATGGAATTATATTTTCTATTCAGAGAAAAACTACTCATTCAGTACAACATAATTTGAAACTCAGGAAACAAAAATACATTGTGTGCTATGGGAGATCTGCAAAGATCTCTTGGTAATCTGTTTGTCTATAGTGCTCACTGAGTAGATCAGCTCCTATCTCATTTTTTTTTTTAATTGTCAAATATTTCTTTAAGCTGCTAACAGCAGAGTGAAGACAAAAAACAAAGAGAACTAAGCTACCTACACTGAAGGAAATGTGAAATTGTTTGAAGTATGAAACAACAACCATGTACAAACAGTTTTCAGATGGCAACTAATTTGTGCAAAATGGCCCTATGCACACAAGTGAATTGAGAAGCTGCAGAATTAAGAACAGCTGAATAGTTAACAGTAGATGACAAATATTTAGGATTGGATCAATTCTTTGCTAGCTTAAGCTCCTTCTACAATATAAACTGAAAGAAGTCAAAATAAATGCAACTAAGTCTGTGAAGTTCAGTTTAGCACTTCTTGTTTAGATGAGGCCTGACTTCTATTTTATCCTTGGGCACAGCTATGTTCCTTTGACAGTGTACTAACACTACTTCAGTGATATCATATACCTTATTACTCCTACTGTTTCAACATTTCCAGTTGAAGACTTCCTAGGTTACATTTTGTTTATCATTCGCCCTACAAGGTTTTGGGGTCACTTAAAGTAATACAGTAGTCTTCACACAATAAAAAGAAAGATTTAGTCTATCTAAGATATTATGGCATTTCAATCAAGTTTAAAATAGCCTTGGCATTTTGTACAAAAACAAACAAACAGAAAAGCCAATTTGTATGGACTGATTAATTTATATTGAAAATCCTACAATACCTTTATAGATTTCTGATTCACTTTAAAGTTACCACGACTCAGTTTCTGCAGGGCATGGTATGCATCTTGTCTTTCCTCCATTACAATATAAGCACATCCTCTTGGTGGTATCATCTATCGTTAAGCACAGAAGTATTAAGTTACTATTAAGCTAACAGTACCTTGCATCAATTTTAGAGGAAAAATGGAAGCAAGAAATGATTAGAATTCCATTCAAATTTGTGCCTAAGACAAAAAAGCATACCTGGAACACTGGGATTTACTTATTTTTAAGATTGCCAGTCCCAATCATGCAAGTCCCAAAGGCAATGTACACACCTACCAAACATAGCCCAAAACCAATTAATTATATACACTTCCTTATATATAAGGAAGCAATGAAGGAAAAGATCATCAAGTGTAAGGACATTTCACTGGATACCAAGACCAGGATCATCCACAATATTATATTTTTATCACTATGTATGAGTGTGAAAGCTGGTCAATGACAAGAAGAAAATCTATGTTCAGAACATTTATTTATTTGATTTCTATCCCACTTTTTCGTACACTGAACTCAAAGTGGCTTACATAATTCTCATGCTCTCAAACTTATCCCCACAACAACCCTTTGAAGTAGGTTGGGCTGAGAGTCTGTCACTGGCCCGAAGTCACCAAGCTGGCTCCATGGCTAAGTGGGGACTAGAGCCCAGACAGCCTAAGTCACAGTCCCATGCTCTTAAACACTACACTACACGACACGACATGACACTGGCACACTACATCATATGGTACTGGAGAAGTGTTTAATACGTCAAACTGACAGAAAGACAAGCAAGCAGATGCCAGGTCAAAGCAAGCCAGAACTTGCCCTTTAAGAAAAAATGACAAAACTGAGGCTGTCATTCTTTAGGCACATCATGAAAAGCCAAGATTCAGCGGAGCAGGCAATTGCACTAGGGAAACACAGAAGAAAAAAAGGTGGCCAAATATGAGATGGACTGATTCCATAAAGATAGCCTTAAGTTTACAAGAGCTCAGCAACGCTGTCAACAACAGGGCATTCTGGAGCAAATTCATGAGTAGTGATGCCATAATTCATAGATGGAAGTGACAGCATGCAACAACAAATTGTAAACAATACTATTTACTTCAGTTTCCCTCAAATGAACATTTTAACTGAATTAAAATCTTGGTCATTATCCAACAAGACACTAATGGCCCTGCCAATTCTCCCACACCCCCTCACATTCCCTTCCACAAGCTCCAACCACTGTTTATGCAAGGGTGATAGGGCACTTTCCAGATTATTTCTGGAAAGAGAGAGCCTGGCAAAGTTTGCATGAGGGAGTTCTGCTGATCTTTCTCCTTCCAAAGCTAAGTGTTTCTCCTTGTTTTGAGGTTTTCCTTAGGGAATGTTAAATCTCCATTATAAAAATGATGGACATTATTTGTAGAAAGGAACTGGCTGGGCTGACCACCTGCATAAATCATGACTGGTTTTTGAACCATGTTTATTTTTTAAAATGTATTCATATTTGTCCAAAGTATTACCTCTAAAGAGTTAAGTTCTAACTTTGCTTGTAAATAAGAATAAACATGAGCTAGTATGTTTTGCGCCTACACATTCAAAGTATTCCAACTAAACTTGCTTAATGGCTCCTTACTGCTGAATTCCTCAGAATGTCATACTTACATTTATAGATTCAATTGGGCCAAACTCTTCTAGAAGACCTCCAACATCCTGTTGCGTTGTTCGTTTGTCCAGTTGTCCTACCCAGAGTGTTGTACTGCAAACTAAAAGGGGGGAATATGATACTTACATCTATTTCAGTATTAAAAACTGCTACCTCTTTGAATATACTTCCAATTTAAAGTAAATGAACTTCCATCACAGTAAGAATTACAGTATGTGTAGACTTAATCTGTTCAGCAAGCACTGCAGGCGGACAGCTTGCAAGCACTTTATTATACTATATTGTACTATAAGAGACTAAAAGATAAAGGTAACTGACAACTGGGAGCACACAATGATTTGCAAAAAATCTACCTGAACTGAAATGGGCATGATTCATTTGAGCAAATAGAAAGAATGAACACAAGGAGACTTTTCCAAACATAGGAGCAGACCAGAAGTCATCATGGCAACCAGAAACTGATACTGCTCACCATATGAGCACTGAACATGACAACAGCACTTTTAATCCCTCACCAATCTCCACCTTTTTAATGTACTTTGCATTGTCATAAGAATGCTTTCAGATAAAAAGGCAATAAAAACTGGTACTTGGATGCTCTGAAACAATTTCATAACTCAGCCCTACAAATCATTTTAACAAACTTAACAGGTACAGGTACAGTCCTCAATAGCAGATTTTGTGTCTGAAAACACAAACAGGAGACAATGAGGACAGGAATAAAATTGGCAGCAGCCATTCTGATTCAGTGGCTGGACTTGATAATGAACTGGATGAGGGCCAACTAACTGAGACTCAATCCAGACGAGATGGAGGTGCTGTTAGTGGCTGGCTTGTCTGTCCAAATGAGAGATTTTGAACCTGCTCTGGACAGGGCTGCACTCTCCCTAAAGGACAAAGTTCATAATTTGCTGCTGATCTGGATCTAGAACTGTCACTTGAGTCACAAGTGGACTCAGTGATGCAGAGCTTCTTTATCAGCTTAGGTTGATATACAAACTACAACCCTATCTGGACAAACAAAGCCTAGCTACAGTAATCCATGTTCTAGTAATCTTTTGTTTGGATTACTATAATGCACTCTATGTGGGGCTGCCTTTGAAAACAGTCCAGAAACTTCAATTGATTCAAAATAGAGTAGTATGACTGTTAACGGGGACTGAACCATGAGATCATACTATGCCAGTCCTCTTTCAGCTGCTCTGAGTCACAGTTGAAGCCTGGGTCTAATTCAAAGTGCTAGTACTGCTATTCAAAGCCCTAAAGAGCTTGGGACCAGGATATCTGAAGGATCACCTCCCTCCAAATATACCTACGCAGAACCCCTTCCAAAGGAAATAAGGCGGGTGACTACCAGGAGAACCTCTTCAGTTGTGGAACCAATTTTGGAATGAGCTCCTCCAAGAGGTGCACCTAGCACCTGCTCTGTATTCTTTTAGGCACTTGGTGAAGGCCTTTTATTTTCCTGGTGTTTTAACCATCTAACTTCTAAACTTTGTTTTTGTATATCTCATTTTATTTCACTACTGCTGCTGTACATCTGCACTGACTAATAGCAATTTGTTTGTTTAGTTTTATTGTGTGTCTGACTTTAAAAATTTTAACTTTTGTTAACTCCCCAGAGAGCCTCAGCTATTGAGTGGTACATAAATGAATTAAATAAAGAGGTTTTTAAATGAAATAGAAATATTTATTTCTAGAAACAGAATTAAGTTTTTAAAAGAAATACATTTTAAAAAGAAGTTTTATAAATAGCATTTAACTTCAGTGCCTGAAGGTTAATCCAGTCCTGTATTCAACCACTCACCCAAAACTGAAAAACAGGAATTCAACACAAAGTTACTATCTGGAATTCAAAGTTCCAAAGTTACTATCTGGAATTGTACTGCTAGCTCTAGTACCTCTCTGAAGCTTAGTAATAAGGATGACTTAATCCTTATGTACTAAAACAGGTACATCATTTCAAGTCTGTCTACTGGACCCCTCTCATCAGATCCGCATTGTCTTGAGAAAGCAAGCATCAACAGCACTTGAAAGCAAGCATTAATACTGTCCCAATTCTTGCTACAAAGGAGAGGTAATACTCACCACTAACAGTTTCAGGTCTGATTGGTGGAAGGCCTTTTGTTCTGCGTGCCCGATCTCTCTCCCTTTCACGCCTTTCTTGTGATCGTGACCTAGGAGAATGGCGCCGCCTGTCTCGGGATCGGGATCGAGAACGACGATGCCGTGATCTCCGATTCCGAGAACCAGACCGTGATCTTCTCCTTTTGGGTGACCTAGTATTAAGCAAAAATGTTAAAATATTGGTAAGGATAGCTAACATTTTTCCATTTTAGGTATCTATGATTGACTACCATGGAATAAAGCCCATTCCTTGTTAGTGTATGAAAGGAGATGTCTCAAAAGTGGAATGCGCTATGGATGGACTATGGAATGCGCTCCCCAGAGGGGTCCGCCTCGTGCTGTCATTATATGTTTTTCGGTGCCAGGTTAAGACCTTTTTATTGAATCAATATTTTAATGTTTTAATATTTTATTATTGTATGTTATTAATTTGCAGCCAGAGTGGGTTGTCAATTTATTTATGTTGTGAGGCGTCCAGAGATGTTAGTAATTGGACGGCATACAAATTTTATAAATGAATGAATGAATGGCTTGTTAAAATCTCCAGTCCTGGTTACCACTATGTCCTTCCCCTACAATCTGAACCTGTCATAGAATACTACCACTCAATTTTTTGTCTCAGCTATGCACCTTTACAGAATCACAGAGTAGTAGAGTCAGACATGGCCTAGAAAGCCATCAGGTCCAACCCCTTGCTAGTGCAAGTTAAACCATACCTCTCAAATGCCTATCCAAATGCATCCTGAATACCTCTAGGGTGGGAGAGCCTACAACCTCCCTAGGTGATTGGTTTGTGCTGCACTGTCATACTGCTCTAACAGTGAGGAAATTTTTCCGTATATCTAGCCAGAATCTGGTTTTCTGTATCTTAAGACTGTTATTCTCTGTCCTGCATTCTAGGATGATCAAGAAGAGATCTTGTCCTTCCTCTTTGTAACAGCCCTTTAAGTACTTGCAGAGTACCATCACCTCCCTCCTTAGTTTTCTTGAGGTTGAACATGCCCAATTCTCTCAATCTCTCCTCACAGGGCTTTGTTTCTAGCCCCCTGATCATCTTTGTTGCCTTCTCTGAATCTTCTTCAGCTTTTCTGAATCTCTATAAAACTGTGGTGTCCAGAACTGGACACGTTCCTCCATATGAGGCCCAACCAGTGCTGAGTATAGGGAAACATATTGGAAGTGATATTTCTATTAATGTAGTCTAAAAGAGCATTTGCCTTTTCTGCAGCTTGATGACACTGTTGGCTCATAAATAGCTTGTGGTCTTTGAAAATTCCAAGACCCTTCTCATGTGCACTCTTTTGGAGCCAAGTATGCCCCATCTTGCAGCAATGCACTTGGTTTCTTTTTCCTAGGTGCAAGAATTAGCATTTGCTCCTACTGAATTTTATTCTGTTGTTATCAGCCCACTTTTTGCTACTATGCTAATCAGGATGTTCTGGGACACTTTGTCAAAAGCTTTGGTGAAGTCATGATAAATTATGTCCACAGTATTCCCACAGTCCATCTTGGAGGTTACCTAGTCAAAAAATGAAATTAGATTAGTCCGGTGAGAATTCTTTTTGAGCTGATGTTAGCCCAGATGTTCATCTCCTTCCCCTGGAAGATTTCAGTTTAAAGACACCCCACCCCACCCCACCCCCAAGCTTCATGTTGCAGCCAAATGCAGTCCTTGTGAGAACTGGACCTCTCCAGTCCTTGTGAGGTGCAACCCATTGCTTGCCAGTAGCTCATCTTCCAGGAAGTGTAGACCATGATGCCAGAATTCATATCTCTCACTTTGGCACCAACTTTGTGGCCAGGCATTCACTATTTTTCTTTGTTTATTCTTCTTCTACAAACTGAAAGGAATGAAGAGAAGACTATCTGGGCTCCAAAGTTCTTGATTTTCCTTCCTAAAGCTTCAAAGTCTGACTTAATTTCTTCAAAGCTCCTCTTGGCAATGTTGTTTGTTCCCGTGTGTATGAGAAGGAAGGGATGTGTGTCAGGCTGTATGAGCCTAATAGGCAGTCTAATAGTTATATATCATTGATCTGTGCTCCAGAAAGACAACACACTTGGCGATTCCACGGATCATCCCTACTTACATGTTCTTTCATTCCATGCAACAGAGTGCCCCCCACAACTAACACTCTTCTCTTCTTGCTTTTGCAAGCTATTGTATCATTGCAAGCTATGGTATTGCTTCTCACTTGACCTTTTGCTCAGTGTTGCTCTGCATATCTTGTAGTTCTTCCGCAGTAGGCTCCCCTGACACTCTTTTCCAGGCAGTTTTGTGAGTAGCCATGGTCCACCATGGGCTTAGAGGAGGCCTGTGCCATTGGGGGCAGGCACTGCCACCATCTTCCGCTTTGGCTGCTGTTTCCCACCAGCACTCATCTGCAATCAATGGGACTTTCTCCTGAGAAGACTTAGATGGATGTGTGGCTTGCCTCTTCGTAAACTCGTGCTAAACACACTCCAGTTTCTTTATTCCTAAATATATGCTTCCCTATTCCTGGAAGGGATGAAGAGCCAGATCCTGCCTAATCTTGGAAACTAAGGCCTGGTTGAAATTTGGATGGGTGACTTGAGTTCTGCATTCAACAGGCAGTTGGACCTGATAGCCTGCTAGGCCCCTTCCAACTGTATGATTCTAATCAAGGCTTCACAGTTAATTTTGAGAGCCAGTGTAGTGGTTAACAGAACAGAACTGAGACTGAGGCAATCTGGATTCTAGTCCCCATTCACAGGGTTGTTGCTGTGGAAATAAGAGTGAGAGCAAGTGGAAGAGAACTATGTAAGCCACTTTGAGTTCTGAGAATAAAAAAGCAGGATATAAATCTAGTAAAATAAATCTGTTTGAAGCATGACTGCTTCACTGGGAGGCTCCCTGGATGTCCACCATCAAGTCTCTTTCTGTTCTCAGAGCCTTTGGCCCCAATTGCTGTTTCCGCTCCAGCCCCTGCTTGTAGTTGTCTGTGCACCAGGGACCACTGTTCTGTCTTGACCAATTATAAGGTAGATATCCTACTCTTCATTTTTAGGCAGGGAAAGAGATTAAAATTCCTTGTCCAGTAACCAGGATGTGTGACATAAAAGCTGAATTTTGATTCACAATTATATTGTGGAAGTACTTCCAATTTTTATACAACCAGGGAGGATTACTTTGGGCAATCATAGTGAATCAGGCAGAATTTTTCATGGAAGCTTTCAGAATCAGCTTGATTAAAAGATGAAATGTAATGCTGCTTTCAAAATAATGAAATCATAGGATGTACATAATTCATTATAGAACACAATACATACATTTTTGTGATGAAATAAAACCACATACAGACAACACCAAAGAGAGGTAGGTTTAAATAATTTAGTAACAATTTTTCATATATAATTCTATTTGAATGTGTTCTAATATTTATTCTGGAATGCTAAATGCACATATTTTTTCTTGTTACCTTGATGCTGATCTAGAGCGTGACTTTCTGTTTTCTTGTCTCTTTCCTTCCTGAACAGGAGGCTGATCCACTTCCATTTCCTAAAACAAGTATTTATGGTCATTGTTCTTACTCCTCTCAGAGTGCAACCTTACATATTTAGACAAAAACGTCCTAAAAGTCCCAACCTACCAAATTGTAGTACATTTTACTTGGATTCTGTAATCCTGTGCACATTTAGACATCACATTTCGTCAGTTTCCACTACAGATAGTCAACAGCATTTGAAATGCAATTTTACATTGCTATTGTTCAAATTAATGAACTATTGTTCATTAACTACTCATATTACTAAGCCTTAAATGCTGGATTTTGGCATTTCTATAGACTGGATAAAACAGGGCAGTCCAATTTTTCATACCTTGAGGGCCACATGGGGAAGTCAACATGGAATCCTACACAATGAATTACATTTTTATATCATACATTAAAGTGTTTGCAATATATTTATTTCATTTACTATATACAAATTAATATATTTAACTAATTATTAAATGAGGGAGAAATAATTTTTAAAACAATTTTAGGACTAATTGAAAGAAAACATAATCCTCCTTCTCTGACCACAAACCAGCACAATACCATTTGTCCGAAGTGGCCCATCCCTGTCTTCCCTGGTTATTCTACCTGGAAACCCTCTCATGTGACCCCTGGCCCCTCCTTCTTGGAACTGGCATGCTGAGCCTCTTGTACTTGACCTGAGAAGCTATACCCATCCCAGGATGCCCCACTCCACTCCAGCTGCTGAGTGCAAACGTGCTCAGGAGCTGAACCTCAGAGAGCAGGATGGGGTGGTGGCCTCACAAGAGTTCACTGCAATCATGCCTGTGCTATCACTGGGATCCAAAAAAAAAAGGGCGGGGAGGGGGGCAGAACAGTGGAGCTCTAAGTTGCCAAGAGGGCCACAGAACAAAGCCTTGGGAGCTGCGGGCCATATGCCACAGGCTGGAACAGCCTGGGCTGAAGCATGATTTCTGAAGAAAAATATTGTTTGAATAGTCAAAAATTGAAACTGATAATAAGTAAGTGATGATAAATCAGTTAGTTGATTCAGCAGAATGATAAGCACATTCTATCAAATGTATCAGTAGTTGAACAAAGCATGTAAACTTGACAACAGAAAAGTCTTTATTAACTCTTATGTAATTTGAGCAGAATCATAGTGATTCTATCTGAAGCAAGTACAGTATTTTATTTCCGATCAAGTTTGGTCTCTGAGAATTTGCTACCTGCCCATCTGTCCAAGAAAGAATTGTGCAAACAGAAAACTTTCACATTCAGTAGTGTATGACAAACTGAGCCACTGGAAGAAATTGAAACAGGTCACGAGTTCATAGTTTTGCATCTGTCCATTCTGAACAAGGGTTAGACAGTAGATTGATAAAAGAGTATATTTCATTGTAAAGCACATTTAAGGTATACAGATTTCTAATGCCCTTTAGTAATTTTAAAAAAGGTATGAAAGTAATGTACCACACTAATTAAACGTAATGTTCCACCACAACTACTTGAGAGACTTAAAGTGATTTAAAAGCGTGAAACAACCTATACTAGAAATCTAATTTGACAAATAGCCAGATAAATTACTACAGCATAAAAACAAAGAACAAGACTTACACTCTGGAACTTCTGCAGCACCACAGTCTCTCTCTGGAAGCAGCAAGTAGCATTATATCAAAAAAAATAGATATTAGAAGTTGTTTACCTGCTGATGTGCCTTCTGTATATGTGGCTCACTCTGTGCTGCAAAAGAAGGTTGGAAGGACTGCTGCACCTGAGGTGAAGGCTGCATGACAGGTTGAGCCATAGGAGGAAATTGCGATGTAGGTAAAAGTCCATAGTTTTGCATTTGTCCGTTCGGTGGAAGTGGGACCTTTTACAGAAGAATATTCAGGCATTTGTGATTAATTTAAAACCAAGGAAAAGTTACCAAAGTCTAACTATTAAGTAATGCACATATTACAAAGGAATATTTCAATACCTGGTGAAGCATGGGGTCTTGCTGCATTCCCAGCATTCGCTGTTGAAATTGATCCATATTTGGAAGCTGGGGATAAACTGCTTGCTGCATGCCTTCACCTGGAAATCCACTGAATAATAAGAATAATTTTTAGCAGAACTTCTAAAGCATGAAATATAATACAGTATTACATATAAAATTCTATGCCTGTTCTTCCCCTCCTCTTGCTTTCCTTTGTAATATTCCAGATATAATATTTTATCAGGACAGGAGCCTGGGTTCTTGATATCACACTTCAGAGCACAATGCACCACTACTGTAATTATCTACAAGCACACGCGCGCACACACAAATACACACAGAGTTTAAGCTGAGAGGCTGTAAATATTCAAATGTAACTGAATAGCTGTTGCTTTTAAACCAAACAAATGCATATCAAGCTATGGTATAACAAAAGAAGCAATCTTCCATTTTAACATCTATGCATGGCAAATCTTACTATGCTGGCTGAGGGACTGAAGGAGATGTTGTTGTCTCCTCTTTCTTGGAGTCTTCCACTGCTTCTGGTTCATCATCATAGTCAAATCGATCCAACAGCTGCTGAAACATATTACATTTTGGCCAACTCTGTTCTCTTTAACAATTATATATATGTACGTATGTCTGTATGTATGTATACACACAGACAGAAAGAGAATATAAAGAATATCTAAGTCACTGATAAGATTCTATCTGTATGTTTTGCTATACTTGGAATATTAAAATAGTGTTGCAGTTTGAAACTATCAGCACCAACTGTCCTTAAGCTAAATGATAACTTGCCCTGCAATATAGTATGTACAGCTGCCACAAAAGTATGTTTTTTACAGAGCTGCATTCTAGGGACTAAGACTGTTTGCTTTCTGCCCTCCTAGTATTAGAAAACAATCCACTAAAACTAACTAAAATCGCAAAGCTGAAGCTGCAATGATTTACAAAGAGAACGGGGAAAATAATCAAGTATAACAGTACTATTGTTTAGCATTGAACCTTGCCATCAAAGCTGGATCAAGATAGAACTCTGTTCTCTTTCTCTTAGGTACTAAATAAGCTTTAATATGCATCTGGCCCCCACAGGTCAAGGAAACCTAAGTCATAAGACTGGGCTTTTTCTAAACACTGAAAAGACAGTAGCTAGTGGTAAAGACAAACCTGATCCATGGAGGCTGCATACTTGGCAGCCATTTAATGTTGTTTGTAGTACAAACATCGGAAACAAGCTGCTAAGTTAATTCCTTTACAATCCAAGAAAGATATTACCTTATCGAAAGATGTCTTTTGCTCTGGTGCTGGGAAATCATGCTTTTGTTCCGATGGTTGTGTTGTTGTAGTCTGCAGCTGAGCAGTAATAGCATGGACCTGAGCCATCACATTATTATCTATCACTGGAGATTGAGGTTTTGGAGGTTGCTGAAAAGTCTGAAGTATCTGTTGGAGCTATCAGAATAAAATTAATTAATACCAATCTCTGAATGATCATAAATTCCACAGAAATAATATTTCCATCAATAATTTTCAGCAAGCCAATATTCAGGTCAAAATAAGCCACCTTGGCATGGTTGTTCAAAGAACAACTCAAGTATCCCAACAGATAACCAAGCTTGGCATGATTTGTTCTCCTTCTCATTCCCCTCAGTTCTCCCACCAGCTCTGGTACATATATCCTGGAAGCAGAACACCCTGTTGTCTCAGTTCCTATGTCAGAACATTTTCTGCAACTGGTCTGTTGGGGTGCTGAATATTGAGGCAAATTCCCTCCACCCTTGCATCAGCTCACCAAATGAAATTAATTTTCTGAACTTGTATGAATGAAGCAATGAATTTACCAACTTCCATCCATGATAACCTCTGCTGTTGGCACATGTCCACTCTCCACAAAGTATCCCCATATTCCTGTCTTCCACTTTGGCACTTCCTTTTCTATCTATAAAGCCTTTTTTTAAGGTCCTTTAACATTACACTTAAGTAAGCATACCCACTTCAAAAGCAATTCTGCTACTCCAGTGTTTAGCCAAGCATATTCCCCTCTTCAACTCTGGCACTTCCCCTCCTAGCTTATGAAGCAGTCTTTTCCAAAAAAAAAAAAAAAAAAAGGTGTTCACATTACATTAAATTGAGAACACCCCTGGCAAAGTGCCTTCTCTCCAGCTGCTTCTAGTTTCCCTGAGTTTTCTTGCTTGTCACTTCCCTCTACTAGTATTTGACACATCTTGGTATGAGCTCCAGAGCAATGAGCATGATCAGGAAGCATATACACATGTCATGGCCAATCAGTAACATAAAAATGGTAAAGTGATTCTTATTCACTCCTTTGCATCTGTACAGTACTGAAAGTAAAACTCTTACAGCTATTTCTGTGAAATTCTCTGAAGTCCTTTCTTTGTCACTTTGAGGGGCAGAATTTGCTGAGAGGGGGTGCAGGTGGATTGTGGCAGCATGACCAAGATCATGAGAAGCATGAGGGGTTTTGCTACTTTAGTAGGGTGGTGCTCTAGCAGTTCCTAACAACCCATGATAACACTGTCCTGCTGGGTTCAGACAACACAGTAAACCATCATGGGCAAGAACAACCCTAAAAGAAACCATGGCTCTCAGAGTGGCTTGTTCATGAAAAACAAGTCACCCCACAGAAAGCATGCTAGGTTTCCATGACAAGCCACTACAGCTTGTCATGCATGTGGATTGTCATGTTATGGGAACTAGGTAAGCATTAGTATGCCCCCTTTCCCTTCCAAGAGCCATGGCCTGTGGGTACTGTAATACAAAGCAGTTGTTCTTGTGATCCCTTTTCTTGACTCTTAAAGGTAGAAAGTAGAGAAGGCTGAGTAGTAGCCATAATCCATGGACATTAAAATATATTCAAGCACTATGACCACTGCATATACATATAGTTTCTTACTCCATTAAAGACTAAGTATCCCTTTAAAGAAGTACTACTGTAGTATGAATGACTAGGTAGCCACAAAAAGCAAGGAACAGTTTTCTGTCCTCAGTTAAAGGTATATGGTTCTTTCCTCCATAAGCATGCAAATCACATGGCTGAACAATCATGTATTTGATATATATGCATTATTTATATTTAGACTGGAAACAGGAGAAAACTTAGTCTCACTATTAATGTAATTCACTCCTTAGAAGTTATAAAATGTAATGTATTTGCATTGGATAAACATTTTCTTAGCTTAATTTTCAAACAACCACTTTCTACTTACCTGTTGTCCTTGGGTTGTTTGAAATAACTGAGCTACAGCTGCAAAGGCATCAGAACTGGGCAACTGTGGCACCGTAGGTACTGCATTTGAAGCAACTTGGGGGGGCTCGGATGGAATTGTTGTGGCAGGAGGTGGTGAACCTACAAAACAATTTATTTAAATATGAGTGTAACTATTTTTATGTGTAACACTACGTGTTGCACTTTACTGTACATTTTCAAAACCAAAACCAGGATGTTAATCTTGTACACCATTTGCAAATATGGCCTGAGGGTCATCCCCGCCCCAAAAGGATTCTCTATATTGGACATCATGGGGTCTTCTCGACAACTATGTCCTACATGCCAGAGCACAAGATCTTGATTGCATTTATAGAGGCACTTTAACATTCACTTCCTAGGACCAAAGTAAAAATACAATTCTCCCATTCCCCCTGGCCTGGTTACCGAATCTTGGCCCAAAACATAAGCCTTAATCTTTTGACACATTGATTGACAAGCAAAATACAATCACTATTATATTTTGAAAACTCAGAATTACTGCAGAAATCAAAGCCCAATTTCTGTTTGAAATAAGTTCACAACATTCTATGTTGGTTAAAGAAAATTAAGCCCATGTTTGTCAATATTTGATCTATTATTGAAAAAACAACCATTACCATGAATGCCTACCTTCATTATTTGTGGCATCTTCAGTCATTGAAGCTGTGCTACTAGCTCCTGCTGCCATATCCAGGAGAGGCTGAATTATTTCTATTTTAAACACTCCATTTTTCTGCCATAAGTTGAGGACACGAACTATTTTACTCTGTTCAAATAAGAGGCAAGTCACAACATTTTAAACATTTAATTTGCTTACTTGAAAGCTAAGCATTCAAACAATACATTCCCCTCACCCCCACTTCATTTTTACGTATCATGAAAGCCTGCAGCAGGCTTTGGGCTCATACACTTCCTTCTACAGCATCCAAACAAATGTGGGACTTTCTAGTGCAGACAGTATTGTTTATTCACTGAGAGGGGAAGAGAAAAAGGAACAAGCACATCAAACAAACATCCACTGTCAATCTAACCATGCACAGAGGCAAGACCCCAAAATATTCTCTAGTCACATAGAGTCTATGGACAGGAGTAACAGTGAGCTAGAAGGGAGAGATCACATCCCAATCAGTATTTTTCTAGAGATGCTTAACCTTGGAAAAATGAACATTACATTTTCTATATGTACTTGGAAATTATATTTTTTCAGCATAATACATTATAAGTAGCAGGAACTACTCTCATCTGCTTTGTGTAGTAGCTTTGCCATCAGGTATACTAAAATCAAAGTCATATAGCTTACTGCACAGATGAGAAAAATTCTTCCATTAAAACTTTTAGTCATAAAGTTTTAAGAAAGAAGAATCTCAAAAATAAGAGGCCCAGCTATTAAAAAAATTCAATACCAAGGGCTTATTGAGAAGTATTGTCCTGAATGAACAACAATATTTGTTTGGGCAAGGATGACCAAATTCTATTGAAATCAGAAATGCACTCCCACATAAAAAAAATCATGCAATTTTGCAATTCACAACACTTTAAAAAAGTTTGGAGCTATACCTTGTCTTCTGATGGGCAAAGATATAAATACTGGAATGTGGCAGTTATATTTTTACAGAATCTTGGCCCAAAAACATCCTTATCCGTTCCAAACTGATGACGAGACTGACGAACAATAGAATCAATAACATATAATCCAGGAACTTTATATTCTGGTTTACACTAAAAAAAGAAAGAGGGGGAAACATGCCATAGTTTCGAATTACTCAATTTATATTCAGCATATCAACTCAACTTCTATATGTATATGACATCATCAACACTAAGGATATTCCAACTTCTGTTCCCAGAATATGATCATAAGTGTTATTCTCCTTTTAGACACAAGCCTAGGGCCCCAAAGGCAAAGTGAATATAATCAATGCATAGTGAGGCAAGAGGACTAAGGCTTCTCTAACATGCCTTATTCACACATCAGCTGTGCATTACACTAAGTATATGATACACATCCTTATCTACCAAAATTGAGAATGGACTTCATAAAAGTTGAAGCCTATGTACTAAACATGTACTGTTACCTGCATGTTGCAACAACTGCACAGAGGTGCACCTCTAATAAATGCTACTTTACTCAATGCATGAGCCAGGCCTTTTTCAACATCTTGTGGGGATAAAAGTGAAATTTAGCACACAAGCAGAAAAGTGATTTTATAGGTAGTGCTACATTGGAAATGTGTGAACTACTCATGTATACCTCAAGCATGTGACTTTTATTACAGGCACATGTTAATAATCTAGTGCATGATACCAAGCTGATTTCAAGTGGAATTCACCATGTGTCTATGTTTAAAACCACAGGCTCAATCACAACTGTGATACAAAAAAGTAAGAGGGGAGGTTTCTACAAATCTATTCTTCTCCTACTCCACAAGCAGCAGACTTCTTACACTGTATCACAAGTTGCCTTTTCAACTCCTCCAAGTTTAAACATGCAAATTGAGCAGCCTAGTAAAATATGACAAAGATATAATACCACACTCAGGAAAAATAAAACAGGCAAGTCACTGCTTATATGTGGTACTTTGCATAAATTAAAGTATTTTTATCAGGAGAAAAACTGTCTGGTTTTTAAGACCCAGCACCAAGATTTCGGCACCCATGATTTCTCCAGTCCCAATTTCATATAAAAAATATTTGCACAGGACATAGAAATAGCTGCAAATAAATATCATGGATTTCATGCAGTCCTAGAATTAACAATAAGAAGGAAAAGTAATAAGCACTATTTGATCATCTAGCATTAAGAACATGTTCCTTTGTACTCAATCCTGGCAACTAAAAATATTCCAAGCAAGAATAGTAATGACTGACTACTACATATTTACATGGTTCACACAATACAGATGAATCATCATGGGTACACATTGCCAGTTTTCAATATGAATTGGGGATTGCAGTGTTATACAAGCCTGTACACTGGTAGTTATTCAAGGGTTACACAAACAACAGTGTGGACTGTGTATTCAAAATGGTGGCCAAACACATACTCAGTATACAACACAGCTAAATAATCCATAATGAAATGGCCACATAGTGCAAACCAGCAGAAAAAAAATCATGGTTTAGAGGAAAATTAATATCATACAAAATCACAGAATTGGATGGTGACTTAAATGTCATATAGCCCAATTTCTTGCTGCTACAGCATCCCAGGGAAATAGCCCTCCAGCCTCCACCTAAACACCTCAAAGGAAAAGCGATCGCCACCTTCCAAAGTGGTCTGTTCCATCATCAGTCTTCTCATACCAGCAGAGCATTTCCCCAATGTTTAGTTTAAATCCTTTTTCTTGACATTAAAAGGTATTGGTTTAGTACTATTCTCTGGAGCTAGAGAAAACAAATTTGCTCCATCAACTACATGTTATATGCAAGAACATGCTAACAAGGATAAAACTGTGGAGCCTATATTTAGCTTAGTAAGTATTCACCACATCATTCCTTTTACCTTTTTTATAAACTTCTCTACAATCTGGACTACATGCTTGTAAAGCTGTAAAAGAAAATTAAAAAGCATTTAAAATAATTAGAAACTGTTAACTCCATAAAACTTATAAAATCTGAATATGCAATAATCCAAACTATGTATTTCTAAAATGGGAGCGAACAGATCTTTTAACTAGGATTTTCCATGCCATACTTGTAAATCTCTGAAAATCATGTTAGTTATAACAAGATTTTTGCAACGTAAGTATTCAGAGAAGACTGAATATACGATAAATATATACATGTATAGATGATAAATATATACATTAAGATTAATAAAATTCATCGAAGATTTACTAAACATTAGTAAAAACAAATCTCATGAAATGTTTTCTTGGAAAGAAATGCATTAATATGTTATAAATCCAGCAAGGGAAACCTATGTCCCACAGACTAAAGAAGGCCCACTTTGTTACCTATATGGCCCCCAAACACATTCACAAGCTCTGCCTCATCCTTTGCTTAGAGGGAAAAGGACATCTCTCTCATCTACAGCTGAGCAGTTATGGTCCTTTTTCCTCTTTCAGCTCTTGAGCTTGAGAAGGGTTTATTTTCAATCAGCTCCATACTAATTAGCCCTGTGGAATGGAACGTCTCTCAATAGCAGTCAATGAAAGTGTTCACATCTACCCACTTCTGTCTATCTGCATGGATATGCTGAGAAGACACAGCTGGGAAGTTTTCTTATATATGTATGGTGTTATGCACACGGGGTTATGGCTCTGCTCACTGTTGATGTATAGTCACCAATGCTTTGGCCCATCAGCTGGAAATCCTCACCCCATCCTATTTTGGGGTATAAATTTTCAAAATTTTATGAAAGGTATGCCTATTTTGCACAATACATAAGAAGCATTCTTTGTCATCTCACCTTAATAGCTTTAATGGCAGCTTTAGTAATGAGAATCATCTTTGCACGAGAAATAGGAGGTTTCATCTCCATCAGTGAGAAGAGCTAAAATATAAGCAAAAGGTAGTAAAATTTCATTATGAACATTCAGTCATAAAGTTGCCCCAGGCAGTTCTAGAACTAAAAAAACCTAATCAAATAACTACTTAATTTAGCAGTGAAACCATTCCAAATATTGCCCTGCACTTAAGAAATGGCATTTGTTTCAATTTGCATTGATAAAATGTTAATGAAGCTAAAACCTGGGGTTCAGAACCTCATAGTTCCATTTCTAACACTGAGTATATTAACCTGTTTGGTTAAGTACAGCTATTTTTAATTTGTTCTCTTACTCTATAGTCTAAATACTAAGTTGTATGCCCTGCATTCCATATTCTTAAAATAGGTAATAAAGTTGAAGTTTAAGTCAATTGGATTTACCCATAATCATTCCAGTTCAGCAGAATATTCATATTTCTACCCTCAGGTAGCTAAAGGCCTTGGCAGTTTAACAATAAACGTGCTTGTTCTGAAAAGCTATGCTCCCTCTTCTCAGCAGCAGAAGATCAATGGGGAGACAGGTGAGAGCCCTCTTCTTGACAGCAATGGCAAGGAACTGTCTTAACCTCCTGAATGCTCCCTGCCTTACCCAACCTGCTGGCCGTCAGAGGCATTTAGACTGCAACTCCCAGTTCCCATCCAGCAGGGCCACTGACTGGGAATTGTGAGTGATGCAGTGCAAACATGTCTGGAAGGTACAAGGTTGAGGAAGGCTGGTGTAAGCTATTAACAATGAAGGGGTTAAGAATAACATACCAAAACAGTGTTATCCAGCTTAGACTCCCCAATACAAAATGCCAAATTGATTATCATATCCCACAGCAGTACAATTACAGAGTAATATAACCATCATACACAGTTATACAAGGTATGTATAATAATCACCAGTATTTGCTCAAAGAACTGGGATCAATTTTTCAGTCATGTTAGAACTACAACTCTCATCTTCCCCAGCCAGCAGAAACAAAGCCCCATTTGGTAAGGATAATGTGAGTTACAGATCATTTTAAGGAACACTGGAAAGGAGAATTAGGCTTACTGTACCCTAGAGGGCATGGCTGACTGATATTCTGAATAGGCATACCCTTCTTATAGAACGAAGGTACTACAACTTTTTGATGCAGGTCAAAAATAACTTTAAAAAATCAATTATTGGCTTCCTGAACCATTTGAACTACTGTTAAAAACAAGGCAACGGTACCACTTCTGTCAAACTGCATAGCTTTAAAAACCATACTAGTTTAAAATCAATTCACACATTAAGAAGGGTATATAAATGATGTGAAAAGCAGGAATTCAACAACTTCTGAGAAATACGTCGCAAATGAAGATGCACAGCATGACATCATGCTCAATTTCCCTGCCCCACTCCACTGGAAACCACACCATGCTGAAGAATGGGGAAGAGACCTGAGCAACATGATATGGCATAATATTACTCTCCCTAATCACTACTTTAAATATATATATATATGTGTGTGTGTATGTATGTATATATATTCATTTATTTTAAGGTAGCCGTCTTAAAATTACAGCTCTACATTGGCCATTGAATACAAACATAAGCCAGGATTCTGGAGAATGAACAAGCTGCATACTTATACAGTAATCAAATCTTTGTATGCCATATGAATGATTCCCACCCTCTTGCTATCACATGACCCTAGATCTGATACCAAACCCTGCTTTGCAATCCTGGTTTGTAAGTGACACAAAACAGTAACCTTGGTTCAACTGGTACATTAAGCCTTTGATTCCTAGTTAGTTCAGTTTCTCCAATTAACACAAAGAGGCAGAAATGAATCCATTAGATACACAGACTGTGAACACCATCATATAATTTGTTTACATAAAAGCAGGATTCTCTGGAATTCCGGTTACTGTTACATTAAAAAGCAGTCAGTACCGATTTGGAATTTAAGATAGTTCCTTTAAAACTGTACTTTTTTTCAAGCAATGACTGATTTTTATACAATGTGAAAGACTCCTTGATAATGCTAAACAGACTGACAACATGCCCCACAATGGTTGTATGATATTTGTTCCTCTAGTTACCTGAGCGCATGACTTCAATCACTAAGAAAAAAGGCCAGTTTAAATCAATGATTTAAATCAAGTTTCCTAAAGCTGCGACAACATATCTCAACAACTGCACAAATATCCACTACACCAAGTTATTTTCCAACTATATGCAATAGCATTTGCACTGTTTCATTCTTACAATAAGGCCTTGCATTCCTTTATTACACTATATACATTTTGCAGTCATTTTTACTTACATGAGAAACCCACTTTTGGTCTAGAGATTGTATTATTCCGTGACCTCAACATTACCAGTGAACCGGATGACATCAAGCCGGGGGGGTGGGGGGGGGGCTCTGCAAAACACCACCACTTCCCTTGAAGGTACTGAATGTATGACTTCCATTTTTACACTTTATATTGAATTTTATGCTGTTTTTCTTGTTTCTGTACTATTTTTTTTACATTTTAATTGCCCAGAGAGCTTTAGCTGTTGGGAATTTATGAATGTAATCACCCAGTCACTTTTTTCACTGTGCTTCTCTCTCTATGGAGAAAGAGACTATTCTAATGTTTGCAGGAACCAATTTCTGTTAGTTCCAAGAAAATCAGATGCTTCTTTACAGTGACTCAATCAATTTGAACAAGAATAGGAGCCATTTAGGCAGTTTCGAAATTGTATGCAAGGTCTAATAAGTTGTAATCTATTTCCTTTACTGAGGTGTCTATTCTATTAATGTTTAGATATCTTATTGTTACAGGTTATTTAATGACTCTCACTTTTTAATGTTTGCAGTAGCTTTTAGAATGTTAAATATCCAAATAATAATGTTTTAGCATTTGTAATGATTTATTTTCTCAAGTAATGTTTTAAAGTAGTAATTTTTGGGGAAAAACCTCTGCACAATTAACATGTTTATATTCAAACTGAATATCACTCAAATTAAAGATAAAATATTTACATTTTTCAAAAATCAAGTTAATTAAAAATCATCTTTTTAAAATCAATTGTATTCACTTTAGCTACTTCTAGTGAGACTTTTACTGACTCGCTTTCTCTTCCTATCACTTTGCAAAGTTTTGCACTTCAGTAGGAAACCTTCAAAAACTGGAAACCTCCCATCTTTAGATGAACGGATCGAATGCCTGTAGAGAAAGACAATGAAGAAACTCTCCCCGTTTTCTCAGAATAATAGGTAGTATCAGGGCTGTGCAGTCCAAGTTGTGCTGCAGGATATCACAAAAATGTACCGACTCCAACTATTAACATTTCTGTTTCACAGATAATAATTTGAGTTACCTATTTTTTCAGGATAGGTAAACTATAGTTTCAGGATATATTTCAATTCTCCCGATGAAAAAAATCACAATGGCAAAAAGTGCCAAAGTTGACTATTTTTGAAAACTTTACAACAACAAGAAATAGGAAGTGTTTTATGTGTCAATATATTATAGAAGATGATTGTGAAGAAGCATGTGTTGCAAAACTTAGTAGTTTTTATAGCTGACAAAAATGTACTTATAAGAGTATCAAATTTTAAAAGATACTTACAGCATTCTTATCCTTAAGTGTCAGAAACTGTGCATTTTGATAAAATATATAACCTGAATTGACCAAGTTTTGTCTTTTGTTCAAAATTTAATGTTACCAAATGTTTGTAATTTAATAAATAAATTTTAAAAGTCACAGTAGCATAGATATGACCCAAAATTTAACAGGTTAGGGTTCTGAAGATTCGCATTGGCAGTGATGAAATGCCTTATAGGTTGAGTGCTTTCAATCAATATAGGAAATAATTAGTATATTTATTTCCAATATTGATATATAAATAAAGGAGAGAGAGTCAAAGTCAAAGGTTTTATGTACCAACTCCACAGTCATATGGTGGAAATATATGCCTTCTCTCCCTGTTTCACAAGGAAAAGCTAGCAGAGAAATAGAAGCAACTGAAAGAAAGAAGAATTACTGGAATACGTATACTCTGTTGTGAATGGGATCCTGATAGACTCCCTCATCATAGAGGGAATCTTCTGTCTGAGGGTTCAAGAGATAGAGATTTACGTCTGTAGAAAAGGGGAGATGATGAGTGGACTTCTACTTGCTGGTTCAGTCTTGGAAGTCTTCCTTCTTTAATCATTATTTATTATTAAAAATGCTAGTTGCATTGCCATCCCTGCTCATTACTCCTTAATGTGGGAACACAGGCTGAAGTAGTTAAAGATGTCATACAAAAAGTAGAATTGATAAGCAGGAATCTAATAATGCCTTGAGTTTTGTTTTGCAATCATAAGTAGTACAGCAGCAGCATGAGCAAGAGAGTCACAAATATTCTGATCATGATTCCTTATTTCTAAGATGCCTATATGTTCACATCTTAATTCTAGTCCCATTGATGCATACCACTGCAGCCTTAGTAGCCAAATTAAAACAAAACTGCTTGTTTACAAAGCTTCTGTAACCTACTCACAGAGTTATTGTGAGGATAAAATGGGGAGGACGATGACAATGTAAACCACTTTGGGTTCCTTACAGGAAGAAAAAGGCACATGTAAATGGAATAATAAATAAAACATCCATTTGCTCATACAAAATAAGTTCACTAATAAAATACTTATAGCTCACATGTTTCATTCTGTTTAAGGGACATTTAAAGTAGCTTATACAATTTACATTTTTAAAGTAATAAATCATTAAAGCAATACAAGTTAAAATATAGGTACAAATCAGAAGAGTGCTTCTAGTGTTTTAATGATGAAAGCTATTTAACTGGAAACCAAACACCATCTGGAAATCAGACATCAGAATGTCACCATGGATTGAGTCATACACGCAAGCCTCTTGCGGCAAGGAATTTAAGAGACTGTATGCCACAACACAGAAGGTCGTGTCCAGCGTGCCCACCAACTATACTTTTAGTTTGTTTGACAGTGAGATACAGAACCTGACCTGCCCAGATGTTCTCATGAGGATGTACATCATGCAG